CTCTTCCAGCCTCAAACTGTTACCCCAACTGGGGAAAAGAGATTTAAGAGCAGGCCTCCAAAATCGTAAGATTGTCTTTAAAAATTGATCTTCAGAATAGAATACAAGGACGATTTTTCTCTTGGCTGTCTAGCCTTTGGGGCTCCTGTTTATAGCCTCTTTCTCTGCAACCACAAGGAATAGAAACGTGCTATTTTGTAAATGAAAGCTGAAATTTTGGTGTATTCCCCTAACTTCTGTGCATAGGGCTTTTCATTCCCACTGCTGCAAGGCTCACAGTAAGTCACAAAAGTCAGCAATGGTCTGTCTCGGGAGAGGCAGGATAGTCTAATGCAGGGGTCTCCAACCTTTTTAAGCACGAGATCACTTTTTGAATTTAAGTGCAATCCAAGATCTACCTCAAATATAAATACCCTTGCCCTGCCTCCTTCATGCCCCTTCTCTGCGGCCCTGCGCCCCTGCTCACGCCATCCTCCCTCCCTCCCCGACCTTCCCTCACTTTTACCAGGTAGGGGCAGAAGGTCGGGGTGCAGACTCTGGTCTTGGTTTAAGGCAGAAGTTCTCAAATTTTGTGATGCCACAACCCCCCTTAAGTTGCTCGTGAACCCCTGGGGACTTGGGACCCACATTTTGAGAGCCCCTGGATTAAGGGATATAGAATGAGAGAGGCTCAGAGCTGAACTTGGGGCAGGCAGTTGGGATGCCGGAGGGAGTTCTAGGTGCAGTCTCTGGGAGGGTGTTTGGATGCAGGAGTGCTCAGGGCTAGGGCAGGGATTTGGGGTACAGGAGGGGGTTCATGACTGGGGTAGGGTTTCAGGAGGTGGGCACTAGCTGGGCACTCTTTAACTCAGGGGGCTTTTGGGTGGCAGTGCAGTGGGGCTAAGGCAGGCTCACCCCTGCCCTGGCCCTGCACTATTCCCAAAAGCAGCCAGCAAACTCGCTCCCAAGTCCTGTTGTGCCCCCCTCCATAAATCCAAGTCGGGAGACAGGAACCTACAACTTTGGAAGAACTGCAAGGAATGACAGCACAAGATTTGGTGGCACTAGATGGCTGAGCAGCCAAAGCCCCGGTGGACTTCTGGATACACTGCCTTCGCATTGGACACTGTCCAACCCTCTGACAGCGATTTCAGGGGGAAGGTGTGACAGACACCGCTCCATGCTTTACGAAATGGACTAATGGACATGAATATACATAACTCAAAGGTGCTTTGAACAAATTATTTCATGTAACCCAGTGATCTCCCCCGATGATCCAAAACACGTGGGGGTATAGCAGTGCCCCCCCCCCCCCGAATGTAGATAGCACCGCCTATCCATATGCACGTCTTTGTATTTAGTCACCATTGCTGTGAGGCAGGGTGCCTCAGTTTCCCCTTCCAAACAGCCATGCAAGATAACTGTGCCTCTGCAGCTATGCCTAGCTCTAAGCCCATGCACAGTCAGTAGCTTAGAAGCTGCGTGATTCTGGGATCCTTTTACCCCTGTCCTGAGGCTAGACAGCAGGAGCAGCCCGTGGCTATTGGCGGACTTGGCCGCCACCTAGGGCGCATGACATCACAGGGGTGCCCGCCGATGATGTCAGTCCATTGACGGCCCTGCAGGCGGGGGCACCAATCGTGCATTCCGCCTGAGGCGCCAGCTGCTGCAGCCGGCTTCAGGCCGCTCCTGCTAGACAGCCAAGAGAAAAATCACCCCTGTGTTCTATTCTGAAGCTCCCAGTTTTTAAGACAATCTTACGATTCTGGGGGCCTGCTCTTAAAACCCTTTTCCTCAGTTGAAGTAACAGTTTGAGGCTGCAAGCTAGTGAACAAACTAAACTCTTCAGATTGGCCAGAGACATTGCCATATTTAACTTCTGCGTTATCCTTGCAGAAGTATGCTGCTGAGCTGTTCCTTGGAGATGGGTCTGAACTCGCACGCTGCCTATCTTTCTGTCCCATGGACCAGCTACCTGTTTCTCCTGACAGCTGAATACTCCAGGGTGAACCCTACAATTATTCTCACAGGACCACAAGGTAGGAGCACCCCCGGCGGGTTGTCTGCCATATTTAACTTCTGCGTTATCCTTGCAGAAGTATGCTGCTGAGCTGTTCCTTGGAGATGGGTCTGAACTCGCACGCTGCCTATCTTTCTGTCCCATGGACCAGCTACCTGTTTCTCCTGACAGCTGAATACTCCAGGGTGAACCCTACAATTATTCTCACAGGACCACAAGGTAGGAGCACCCCCGGCGGGTTGTCTGTGACTGCACCCCATCACATTCTCTTTTTTGATCAGTTTCTTAATTTTCACAGAGGCTTCTTCTCTTTCTCGACCTTAACATGGTTTTTTATTTCAGCTCCTTTTCAAGCGACACAAATAAAATTTAAGACGGCTGCTAATGCCCAGTCCCTGGGGAGACGCTGTAGCAGACGCTGTAGCAGACACTGTTCCTGCAGCAACACACATACTGAGCAGCTGAAATGCCTTGTAAAACAGTTAGCTTTCTGTTTGTTAGAGTTACCTGGCCTGCTTCTCTGTGCTAGTTTGGCGCTATGCAGAACATTTACTCCTCCATTCTCCTTGAGCAGGATCTGAGCCCCGAAGGCAAGAAAAAACCCTTAATACAAAGGAGCCGTGTTGCAGAGGAGGAAGCGTATGCAATGTTTCGGTGGAGCCCATGTGACTGTATAGAGCAGATTAGCTTTTACGGTGTCCCTTTCTGCCACACCCCCAGCTGCCTGGTTAACTTTGTATAGGAAGGCATTCACAGAAGGTGTGACAGCATTTCGGACTGATACATTATTCCACGCTATTTGCCTGAACCACACAGACAGCTGGGCTGGAAAGCTCTTGTCAGCCTGTGTGACAAGTAGCTTCTCTGTACAGGATACTTTTTCCCCTTTGTTGCGGGCACATTCGCCCCCAGCTCTGGCTTAGCTTGGCTGCTGTTCTTCGGCCGTGCAGCTCGGAAGCAGATGTTGAGGGCATTGGGGGAGGGCACCGAGACAGGGGAATATTCAGGCCTCAGAAACCTTTACATGGTTTTTTATTTCAGCCCCTTTTCAAGTTGCAAGGGTTTTCCACCTCCCTCCAAAGCCTCAAGCTGAAGCGAGGCTCAGGTGGTTCATGGGTGACCGGTGCGGTGAACTTCCTCTAGCGCAGATACAGGAAGTTGTAGAATTCTGGAGTGTTGCCAAATAGCCTCTCACTCAGAGATTTCGAACACCTTGTCACTCCCAGGCCCCCCCCCCATTGAGTGCAGAAGGAAGTGTCTTCAGGCGGTCTCTTGCTTTGCTTGCACAGAACTGAAGGCTACTCTGCCAGGCTATGCTTTAGGGTTAGGAACATTTGGCTCCCACACTGAGCTCCGGCGTATCAAATCAGACCTGGCTTTACCGCAGGGTAGGAGAGTAAGAGACCAGTGTGACTTCAGGCTGTGTGTGCAGAGGAGGGAGGAGGGAGGCACCTCGTCCACCACTCTGGAGGTGGCTGCACCTGGAGCCTGGCATTTCGGTCTGCGTGCTTCCAAGGCAGGGGCAGTCTGGAGAGAAAGCAAAGGGAAGCGATGCAAAGGGTGCACAATGGGGTTGGTCCTGCTTTGGGCTGGGGGCTGGACTCATGATTTCCAGAGGTCTCTTCCAGCCCTAGGCTCCTATGATTCTAAAGGCTGGCAAGCAAGCCTGCTGTTGGGTACCAGAGGCTTGGGGCCATGCTGCCTGTCTTCCCAGTGCTGGGGCTGGTGGATCAGCTGCGAGGAGGGGAGTTGTTTCCTGGTCAGGGATCTGGCCAGCATGCCAGGCTCAGGGAGGCTGGTGCTGCACCTTCCAGTTCTGGCTCTCCACTCTGGCGCTCCAGGGCCAGGGGAAGCTGGGGCCACACTGCCCACCAAAGCTCTGGGGTCAGGGCAGGCTGCAGTCATGGCACATGCTGGCTTTCCAGAGCCCCAAGGCAGGCTCCAGTTATGCTGCTCACCAGAGCACCAGGTAGGGTTGCCAGCCGGGCCAGACAGAGCCATGGGCGAGCCGGGCAGCTGCCCAGGGTGCCAACCCACGGGGGGGGGCACCTGAT